GCTTACTGTTCGCGAAGTAAACAGAGACTGTGCAGAAAAAAGAAGGAAGAAAATGGAGGTTAAACCAAACTGGTCCACGTTGGAATTCCCCGCTGGAATTCCAACGTGGATCTCGTACTTTTGCGAGGCTGGCGACCTCTGTCCCCCACAAAAACCCCCCAGAGCAGCGACACCTTTTGCATGTTTTAGGTGACGCGCGACTATCGTGTGGAGGACAGGGGTCGCCATCAGGCGGTTTAGACTACCAAAAAAATTCGTTGAGGTAAGAAGATTATGTCGAGGATTCGCTAATCTTTGCATGGAGTTTTGAATCAGAAGATTACTTGTCTTCTCCAGAAAGTTTGAGAAAGTTCGAGAAAAGCGGAGAAGAAAAAAGTGAGTGAAAGTGTTCCCATAGTGTCATCCCGATGTGAGTGGCCAGCTCATATCGGAATGCGAAGACGCTTTGCGCATGGATGGTATTGGGTATCTCCCGTGTGAAAATGCATTGCGTAAAGACCCTGCTGCCAAATGCGGTAAAGTAGCAAACTGGCACAGGTGTAACGTAAATGAAACGAAAAACGGAAACGAAAACAAAAACGTAAACGAAAATGGAACGATGTGAAAGCATGTGAAAGAGTGAAAACGTCATCAGTGATAAGATGCGGAAATCAAAAGTTGAATGGAACATTCCGGTTTGATGCATTGATGCGCTTGTTGCTTCTTGAAGGAAACTTGAATTGCGCGAGTTGTCAACTGTGAAATTCCCGTATACGGAGGATTGACTTGGTGACGGTTGACGTTTTTTGTGCAAGAACAGCTTTGTGCAAGGATTGTTTCACGATGGCGTGTGGAGGCCCTTCAAAGACACCTAAAGAAGCGACTGGTATGTAAACTGAAAAGACGCAAAAGATTAGTAGATTGATGCATTGTCATTTGTGAATACACAGAGGAACTGACGGAATTGGTCAGAAGAATTCAAACAATCGACGTAAACTCAAGGAAGAGAGTGCATAACGGTGCCGAAGGAGCATCTCTGGACAGTGAAACATCTATGATGTCCGAATTAAACCAACTTAAAGGGGTAAAGTCGCTTTCGATTGAACAACGTCTTTGGTTGGCGAGATTTCTAAAGGTTCGTCTGTTTATATGACTATTTTTGTACAACATACATTCGGAATACAAGAAAGGGGAAACAGAATAAAGGGGAATTGAAGAATTGGTTTGTAATTTTAAATTTGTGTGGAATAGGTGATGCAAAGTGAATTTGTAGCCGAGTCGGAATTACGAGGTGCAGAAAGGGAGCTACGTCTAAAGAAGGTGCGCATCGCGGAAATCGGAGAAGAGTGTATGCTTTTGGAGACTAACGCTATAAAGCTGAAAGGTACAGAAGATGATTTGAGAGAGAAGATTATGAAAGATCAACTTTTGCTGGATCGAGCAAGGGAACTACAAAGAGAGGCTGACAACGCCTTGAAAGAGGCATTTCAACGGGTACTAATAAGTGATGCTTGTTCGATAAACGAGGCATTAGGGTCAGGACGTTGGTATCTTGCCAATGACGTTTCCTTTACGGGACGTGAAGAAAGTGAGTGTATTTTTAATGAGTTAGAAGAATTCGTATGTTTCTGAACGTAATTATTTCTTAACGATGAATAATAGATGGTGTAACGACTCTGCGATTCCGTGATGCTGAATTGGTGTTGGGACCTAGTGACGGTCTCCTACTAGCATGGGTTCAAGATATGAACAAGGGGTTACTTCCTACGAGAATTGCTGACCTTCCAGATGAGACTACTCCAGATACTTCTGCTATAAGGAGAAGTATTGAGGTACAGCCAGTGATCGGCGATGATAAAGTCGTAATGAATTATGCACAAAGTGATGCTAGTTCTGTACGAACCGAATTCGAGCTACTTTCGGATGGTAAAGTTGCTTTGACTTGTTAGAACATTCTGTTTATTGGCGTAGTAATTAATTTGTTTTACATACATTTTGTGATTTGTTACAGATGTAATTTGTAAAATATTCCTGATGACAAAATTCGTGCCCGAGAATGAGATGCAGTATTTTCGAAATGCGTCGCGCGCAATGAAGATTACGGATCGTCTACTTGATTTACTTGGGGACTGGAAAATCCCTTTGCCCATTCCTGGCTGTGTCTTCGAGGATTTCAGATTTGCTACGGATGATTATGGATTCACTGGGCCATTACGTGAGAATTCGGATCTTCCCGCAATTCTAATTCTAAGTACATCTATGACGAGCGGATGGGGACTTGGTGAATGGGTCTTTCGAACAAGGATTGCTGATTTTCAAAATATGCGGCGACCTATCCCAAACTTTGCCTATTTGACAGCTGGGATGAAAGTTGAAATCAATCAGGTTAGTGTTAAGACATGGCGCAAAATAACAAAATTGTACATGACATTCTATTGATAGGTGTCAATTAGTGGATGGTGTGCCGTGATGCGGCGCAACAGTCTATCCATGAAAGCCTTGAGGGATATAATATTCAACGGGTTGCATTTGGGACCAAGCTATAAGTTTGCGCAGATCTACTTGCGTATCGGCACGAATGATGTGAAGGGCCTTTGCACCTTCAAGTACTATGACGTCCGTTTTCCAACTTTTGAAGCATTTTACAAGGAATATGAGCAATTCATGGGGAATCTGGTTAAATCCTTTGCTTGTAATGTTTTCGCCTTGGGAGCAGCTCCACCCTCTGTATCGCCATTGTTGGAGAGTCCTACGAGTGTAGCGTTGGATGCCGACCAGAATGGATTACCGTTAGTGCCTTTAAGGTGCTTGGACAATGTTGACCTTGTGGAAGAAGAAGACAGAGAGAGAGCTGGTCGCATTTATCTGAATGAAATTTACAGGCGATTAGCTGGTATTGATGGGGTCATGAACGTTGTTGATGCGGAAAGAAATCTGGGATGGATTGCTCTGCCTACACCCATTGATGGGCTGAGGGCGTATAGCAGTGGTCGTGGAAAGTTGTCAGATTTTGGGCATATCACGCCTTCTGGTTACCTAATTTTTGCTAAGTATCACTGTATTTCCATATGGCGTGGGATTCGAATGTTACCAGGCTATGAAAAGGTAGTGGGACGGATTTGCTCAGGACAATATCCGAGGTGGCTTGATGATGGAACAGTGGCAGTGGGATTGGCACCTGATAATCTGCATGAGCATAGTGGATCTTTTGGACCAGTGTCAGATTGTGTTGGACCACTAGTTCCCACCGGGAATATGTGAGTTGAAACTCCAGTTTTTCTGAATTTTTAAACGTAGTCTGGAAATCTGATAATCAATAAGCTACACACTGTACAGGAGAGAGAAGGGAAGAGAAAAAGAAAAACAAAGGGAAATGTAGAATGGAGGACTAACATATTGTTTGTAATTTTAATTTGTTTTAGTGATCTTGCCAAGTTGCGAAAGTTCGACTTTGACGAATGCTTCCTGACTGATGCTGCTACGAGTAACGCCCGGAGTCGGTCAAAGATTGAAGTTGGGGACATAGTACGAATTCGAAACGTGAAGGGGACCAGAATCGTCGTATCTTGAACTCCTACTGGTTTTTGGACGGTTGGTTTTGGGGGTCAACTGTACGTGGAATCAAGTGATGTTGTACTCGCTTCTGAAACTGTTTGTTTGAGGGATGAGTGATGAGTAGGGAGTTTGAAAGTGACTATGATGTACGTACGTGCGCGGCTTATACGAACTGATTGCGTTGTGATTTTGTCTTTTTTCGATTGTTAGGGGATGAAAATGATCTGGGAGACGATGAAGGGGTTTTTTTTTTGCGGTTTGATTGTTTAAACTTGTGTTTACATTTTGCCGGATATCAAAGGTCAAAGTCGTACGTTCGAAACGGGTATTCTCTTTTTTCGTGAAGGTCTTTGTTATAAACATGACGTGTT